TTTAGTTTAACAAATTTATTGACAAAGCTTGGAGTACAGTTTGCCTATTCTGAGTAATTCAGTCAGGTCCTGACACCGAGAGTGATCATGTTCATTAACAGTATATATATATATATATATATATATATATATATATATATATATATATATATATATATATATATATATATATATATATATATATATATATATATATATATATATATATATATATATATATATATATATATATATATATATATATATATATATATATATATATATATATATATATATATATATATATAGGTCAGAGTCATGTGGGTGATGTCTGTTCACTGCCATGCAGGACAGTGGTTCATATACATTGGACGTCAAATTCTAATTGAAGACTAATCAGTGTGGGCTAGCAATTTTGGAATAAACAGCAAGAATGTCCTCAAGCTCCCTTGATACAATAAGCCAGGTGGCCTGAAGTCTTTGACAGTGTCACACTCAATAATATAGTGTTTCCAGTGTATGCTTTAAAGGTTTATCACAAAGTCTCCGAGGAGCTTTTACTACTGTACCACGTGCGTGGAATAGGGGCATAAGTGTAGGGGCACGTGGAGTGCCAGCAGCTGTCACATTGATCACTGCACTACACTCACAAATGCCACTTTACACATGGTTATAGCTCACTAACACTGATGTGAAGTAACTATTACACTTTGTTTCACAATACGCGAAATATAAGTTTGGTTCTTCTGTAGTATGTGGCAAACAGGCAGTCAACCGTGGCTGGGAGGCGTAACCCTCTTACGATGCGAGGTAAGCTGCCCTCTATAATCCTATACGTAAGAGGGAGGTAGATTACAGATTTTACAGATTGCCCACGAGGGGGCTAGTTCATTGGGCACCCCCTTACATTCCCCTACATTCTTGTGTAAGGTGAAGCGCAGAAGCGTTTACAGCGCCCAACAGGGAAGCATGCTAAGTTCATGCTTGCCTTTATGTCTCACGAGTTAAGGGCGTAGAAGCCTGAAGAGTCAGTGGTTTATGTCATCACGTTATTGGAAGCTCCAACAACTTGTCCCTGAATACGAATTCGCAGCTTTCGACTTACGAAAGGTACCTACTTTACTGCTAGGTGAACAGGGACTAATGTGGGCTAGGAAGTAAGTCCAAACAACTTCCACCGGCCCGGGAATCGAACCCGTGACATCTCGCTTGCGAGGCAAGAACGGTACCGCTTCTACCACCGGTCCCCCCATACATCCTGTGTGTGGCGAGCCACTGGCGTCTCAGTGCCTGACCTCTGACCTTAACCTTGAGGGCAGAGGTCCGGGTGCCACCTCACTGTGTCACAATGTCACACTGTATTTTCCCCTATACAGTTTGGTTATGGTACTTATACAGTCCACATTTATAGGGTCGAGGTACTGAGATAACTATGGCACACAAGGTAACTTCTCACACCTGTACCAAGCTTTATATATCGCTAAAAGCCAGGTCAGGTCAGAGTAGCAAGAGGGTGTGACCACCCCCCTATGGTGCCTATACAGTAGATGACTGAGGAGATGGGGAAAGGTAGGGCTGGGGGGTCAAACAGACTGGCCAAGCTACCAGGAAGGCGCCAAGACACGTCTCGACTCTATGAACACTGAGACGCGTTTGTGTGTGTGTGTGTACTGAGGGAATACGATAAAAATACGATATAGATTTTTTTTTTTTACAGTGAATAGCCCACCCGGGTACAGATCATAGACCCACAACGGGGCCTGGGAGGCGAAAAAATAAGAGTAATGTATAAAGGTAAAAAAACAAAACAATAATAATGACACACTGCTTTCACATGTATTTACTGAGAACCAAGCAATAAATAGTGGCTTGCAACCATTAGACCTCCGCCTGTGAGCAGATAATACCCGAGGTAGGAATTAGGGAAGATCTGGACTCATCAGCATATATATATATATATATATATATATATATATATATATATATATATATATATATATATATATATATATATATATATATATATATATATATATATATATATAAGGAAATAATAATCGGCTGAATTGTTTGGAAACAATAACTGCACTTTCAGTAATGTACACGTGAATGTGTAACTCGCAGCGCATTACTGCGTACTTCTACTAGTACGAAGTTACATTTGAATGAGCGGAGAAGTAATAGAGAATGATGAATAAAATACAAATAGTACGATAGATAAATGTAAAGTGTTGTAAGAGTGATCAGCGTCAGACAAACGCTCGCATACGCCTACAAAACATTCTGTATGATAATGATTTGTGTCTCCATTGCAAATATTACAGGTTATTGATTGGGAATGTGAAAACAATGTGGATAATCAATATAGATCATTTTACACACCGATATACTCAAGCACTCCCCAATTCTGGTACTTTACCTCACTGACCGCGTGACAACGTGTGTGTTTGTCAAATAGTGACAATAACAATTACGTGGACATGATGATATATGGTAACAATGTACACAACAAGTGTTGCTGTGATCACCTCAATCATTACATTATCGCTGAGAGTATTATACAGCATAAAGAAGGCGCATGAGTGGCACAGTGCAATTAATACTACACGTGAGCATCTACCATCTAGAAGCCGTTCCCTTGGTGACGACCAAGGCCACACCCAAAAGTCCCTTGTATTGGGATTGCCAGTCTCAGCGAGAATTTTTTTTTTTTAATTTTACAAAGGTTTTGACAATTCTGAGTTGATTTCTGTGAGGAAAACAAATGCCTGGCGCTGGCTTGTCATTTTATTGTAATATATTATGGCGTCATAGGGGTTAACCATGCTGTTGCAACATTACGGCCTTGTATTATTTTGAAGTTAGTGTTAGATTTGTAATGCTCTTGGATACATTTGTAAGAGGCTCCCGTTTGTAGTAGGCATTTTCATGTGAAACTTTGCAGGAAAATTTAGTTATCAACTTCTCATGAGTTTCACATATAAACCACTTATTTCTGAATAGTTGTATATGGATACCAACTTTCCCTGAAGTCAAGAACACACAAATTAATTGGAGAAATTGTTGTATTCTTATTATGTTTTTCCAGTTTTTCTTAAGTATAAATAATGGACTTTGAAAATTAAGATAAACAAGCCTAACCTAACCTTCCTCTCATAGATCTATACTGCATAATTGCTGCAAGCATTCGGTCGTTGGTAAACGTTTATATGTAAATATACTAATGGCAATGGCCAGACGTGACGGACATAGTAAATATTTATACCGAAAAAAAAAGTATGAAACTTGCAATTCCTGTGAATAATTGGAGGTTTTTCTCTACCTATGGAAGAAGTTGTCCTCAGCGCATACAGTAACTAGTCAGAAATTGGTAGTTTACATTTGAAACTCATACAGTAGTTAATGTTCCATAACAATGAGCAGCTAATATTCTCTTCCAATGTAGAATTCTGAATCGATTTTCTTGTATGGCATTAATTTTGTTGTGCAAATTGATAATAACGGAGATATAAGTAATATTTGGATCGATTATAGTGAGCATCTGTAGATGAAATTAGCGTGTGTCGATTTTTATGCAATCCTCACCAGCCATGACTTGACGGCTAGGAGCATGGCATTAAATTAGGTTAGGTGGGGTTGGGTTGGGTTGGGTTTGGTTTGGTTAGGTTAGATTGCGTTAGGGTAGGTTACGTTTTTAAGGTTTGTTAGTGCCCCCATGCCCTCTTTTACCTAACAATTTCCTTTTAACTCGAATACCTGCCCGCTTTTGTGGGCTTCAAAATTTTGGATGGAAGGGGGACATATCTTCGTAACCACTTATTGGCACAGGAAATACCATAGACGAAAATTGATTCAGAATCAAATTCTATATAAGAAGATCCTATTTTCATCCTGAAGTCCAGGTCATGCGGGAAATCGAACAATTACTCAATGGGCTCAAGTAGCATATATATAAGCCTTATAGCCTAGAATGACGATTGAAATTTGACAGTGGGCAGGACCATGAGAAGAAAATTAGGTTAAAAGAACATATACGAAATTGTCATCGAAAAATATTCATAATTAAATGAATAAGAATCACAGCACCGGGTAATTGTCAGGGTTGATTTGTCCGAGAGCTACTCTTTGGGTTCTGACCATTATCACTTCTTGTACTTCGATATGTCAAGTTATATCGAGGAACTGTACTGATCTTTGTTTAGGGTTAGAAGTATCCATCAACTCTAGTGTTACTGTTTATAGAATTTTGGTTTAAATATCAATAGAGTTGTATATAATTAGAGTAATGAAAGCAGAACTGTGGTTTCATTCATGTATGTTGTTTCAGGCAGGATGGTCCCTTTCACAAGACAGGACGGATGAAGTCAATGCTTCCTCTACCACCAGGGCAAGGTAAGCACTACTTCTGCTGCTCTTATTATGATGGACAAGTGTAACTAAAAACATAGTATCATGATTGTTCCTATTGGTTGAAGAGGGGGTGGAGCAGGGCAGGACAGGGGTAGATTCTTTTCTGACATATTTGTTGTAAAGCATAGATGCTCATCTAAGAAAAAACATATAGTTGTATGAAACATATACAAATTTCCTTCAGAACCTCATGATCTTATCATCAAAAACTCCACCAGGAAGGCTGAAGATCTAAACCACTAATGATGACAGGTTCCATGTCAATTCAGCCCCTGGTCAACCCAACCCCTGTCAATTCACCCCCCTGCCCCCCCTCACCCCTGTCAATTCACCCCCCTGCCCACTCAGCCCCCTGTGCCACCTCCCCTGTAAATCAACCCCCTATCAAATTAACCCCTGGTCAACTCAACCCCAATCAACTCAACTCCCCATAAATTTAACTAACATGCATTTATACTTAAACATAAAATAAATCATGTTACTGTATATTAGCACTCACCCTGTAGTGGGTGTCACCAGTGCAACACTCACTCCACAAGTTGCAGGACTGGGACAATCAGTGCAGGGTACTATTATAATATTGTTTAGCTACTTGTGTTTAAAAATATATATTATATTAATGACTGATGAGTTGATAGTTGGATGAGCTGAATGAGTTGAGTTGACCGGGGTTGAGACGAGTTGACTGAGTTGACCGAGTTGAGTTGAGCTGACCGGGTTGAGTTGACCTGACGTTGAGAGTTGACTGGGGGTGAGTTGACCAGGCTGAGTTGACTGGGGGTTGAGTTGACCAGGGGCTGAGCGACCGGGGTTGAGCTGACCAGGCTGAGCTTGACCAGGGGCTGAGGATGACCAGTTGAGTTGGGGCTGAGTTGACCTGAGTTGACCAGGGTTGAGTTGACCGGGAGTTGAGGGGACTGGGGGTTGAGTTGACCGGGGTTGAGGGACCATGCTGACCGGGGTTGAGTTGACTGGCTGAGTTGACCGGGGTTGAGTTGGACCTGAGCTGACTGGGGCTGAGTTGACCGGGGGCTGACTGGGGGGCTGAGTTGACCTGGGGGCTGAGTTGACCGGGGGCTGAGTTGACTGGGGTTGAGCGACGGGAGTTGAGTTGAGTTGACCGGGGTTGAGTTGACCGGGGGAGGACTGACCGGGGAGCTGACTGGGGCTGAGCTTGGGGCTGAGTTGACTGAGTTTGAGGGGCTGGGGCTGAGGACCCTGAGGGTTGAGTTGAGTTGAGTTGACTGGGGGTTGAGTTGACCGGGGGTTGAGTTGACAGATTGAGTGACCGGGCTGAGGACTGGGGTTGAGCGATTGAGTTGACCAGGGTTGAGTTGACAAAAAATCATAGGAGTAAAGTAGGATGGAAGGATAATCTGATTTATTTTTTTCAGGTAGGTGAAAGTTAACAGCTCCTCGAGGGACAGTAACACAGCACAATGCATCACACTTCAGACATGTCCAAGTCAGTTTTATATATAAATTATTATTATTTTTGTACTTGCTCTGGATTCTTGCATCTCCGCTAATTGAGTAAAACGCCGTTACAACTCAGTGATTTTTCTAGATAAAGACTTTTGTATATTATTGACTCGATCAACTCTGTCATTTCGCCCACACTATGGAGTCGGTTCGCCCACAAGTTATTTTACCTACAGTTAGAGTTGATAAACCCCCACTATCGAGTCAGTTAGCCCACACCTGTTTTGTTACCTGTTTTATTTAGGTTTAGTAATGTATTAATGTAAATAACTGAACTTCAATCAAGTTTTCGAAACTAGGAAAATATCGTCTGTAGGTTTCGTAATTGTTAAAGCCCAGCGGATTTAGTCAGTCAATGGCAAGATGGCAGACTGTCAAGATTATTGCATTCAATTCAATGTGCCTGTACGGGCACGGCAAGAAGGTCTGCAGTGCGACGGGTGTGGGAAGTGGCAGCACAGGAAATGTGATACCTGTGTATCTCGAGCTGAGTACCGGGCAGCTGTTAGATCCGGTGTTACCATAGACTGGAGTTGCAATTCGTGTGCCGACAGTATCATGCCAGTATCAAACATGATTATCCCCACCGTGGAGAGCACCTTTTTTTTTTTAAGTTTAAGGTGGGGAAAGGATGGAAGGCATGATGGGGCTTAAGACACAGCCAGACATGAAGAATAGAGAAGTCACGACAGATAGTCGTGGAGGGAAAGGTTGGAAAAGAAGTTTAATGATTTAAACAGAGGGGGACGACACCCCTTGTCTTACATATTACAGAGTTTGTTGGTTAACTAAGCTAACCTAGGATTTAGGATGAGGTTGCTCGATGGTTACTTTAGTTGACAATGACTAGTTTGATTTTACAATTACAATTTTTTTTTAAATCTTATACTCTTTTACTTTATGGACTCACTAGATTGTGACTTGTTAAATGTAAACTTATATCATCGAAGTTTTAATCTAAGGTGGATCGTTGTGGCGGACATACTGTAGATGGGTTGCGGGTTGGGTTGTTGTAGTGTGGGCAGACTCCGTGGCCACCAGGCGTGGGGTCGCCCTCCGTTGATGTCTTCCCCGCGTAGGTGGTCTGGGCTGTGAGGGTCGTCCAGGAGCTTGTCCCAAACCTTCTTCCCTAAGCGATGGAACCTGACGTTGAGGGCCTCTGTTTTATTTCTCAGGTGGATGGTTTCCACTGTCTCCTGGTAGGATGGCGCTTGGCCTCTGGCTGACCTCGTTTTGTTTGTTTTTAATTTTCCATTTATTTCCATATTACGAGATATCCTTTATTGCCCGAGCAGTGAGTCGCGCCATCCTTGCCGTGGACCTTCCTGGGCAGATGACGATCTGTGTTACATCGTCGACATGCATGACTTACTCGATGCCGACGATTGGGGGTGACAGGTCAGCCATGTAGAGTGTGTAAAGGGTTGGTGAGAGACAATAGCCCTGAGGCACGCCGCTCGAGAGTGAGAATTCTTCTCCACAATGTTCTTGCATCTTGATTTTGGCTCTGTGGTCCGTAATGAAGTTGCACAGCAGGCGCGTCAGGTTTTCGTATAGCCCCAGTTGTATGATCTTATACTGCAGCTCCGCGTGCCAAACTTTGTCAAACGCCTTGCTGACGTCCCTCAGTAATACGTTGCACTGCAGACGGCCAGTCATGGCGTTGGCGATCTGCTCGAAGGCCTGGGCTATGGCGGTGGATGTGCCTCGGTACTGGCGGAAGCCGAACTGGCGGAAGCCGAACTGGCGGGATTATGCACGTCTTCGTCCTCTAGGTACATCCGCAACCGCTTGTTGGCTATTTTTTCGAGGATTTTGGCAGGTACAGTAGCTAAAGCAACTATCTGTGCAGGTGGGGGTCGATATGCTCTGAAATTTTGCGTGTGACTAGTGATAATCCTCATATACCAAAATTTATCGTCCATGGTCTCATATTCTTTCCCACAAAGTATGCACAGATAGTTGTTTTAGGTACAGTACCTCTAGCAGCGATATTGGCCAAAAGTTTTCGACTTTGTCTGGAGGCTTTCCTGCTTTTGGTATGAGGCGAATAACGGCGATTTTGAACATCTTTGGAAAGTATCCCGAGGCGAGGCAGACATTACATATATGAGCAAACCTCTCTATCATGTTGTCGGGGAGTTGGACCAGGATCTTCTTAATATGGCTTTGCCCAGGTGACTTGTTTTTAAACCCTATTTTGACGGCTGACACATCTGCAGGAACTAAGCGTTTCATCAGGTAGCGTTCGTCCACCAGTCTAGTGAAGTCAATCCTCCTCGAATATTTTCACGTTGTTTTGGTCGAGCAGTAAGGGACCGTGTTAGAGGTGGAACCCATCAGTCGCTTGATCCCTTTCCAGAAGGCAGCAGAATCGCGGTAATTGTTGGCTGCCTCCCACACCAGGCGGCCCACTTTTGTTCATGTAGACGTTTGCTCTCGTGCTGGATGTCCGTCTGTAGCTCTCGGTACCGGTCTCTCAGCTCTTGGTCCACCCGCTGATACTGTCTAGCTGTCTCACGTGATCGTACTGGACACTGAGCTGCCTCAGCTGGTGATTAGTGTGAGGGTGGGGAATGGTCCTGTGGGTGGTGGTCGGGATGTTGTTCCAGAACTGAAGGTATCACTTTAATCCGGACGTTTTGTACAATGTAATTTCTGTACAATGCAATTTCTTCGTAGTTTAACCTGAACACACATGGTAATGGAACATTGCTTTATTACTTACTTGACACACCGGAACCCGTATAGGGAGTTGCAGGCCAAAATATTCGCTCTTTGGGACGAATACTTGAGGAACGAGAGGTCAGCTTGCCAACTTCTGAGAGCTTGCGCCCATCTCAATGGACCAGTCAGCGGCTGATATGTGATCAAACATCGTAAATCCACTTCTATGGTTGAATTTTAAAACGTTTTAGTTTGTGTATTTTATATATATTTTATATTAGCAAGTCACCGAATAAACAACCTGAGACTTAATTTGTATATATATATTACATTGTTATCTAGAACATGAATAAACATAAATAGGGCGAACTGACTTCAGGTGTGGGCGAACTGATTTCAGGTGTGGGCGAACCGACTCCTAAGTGTGGGCGAATAAACTCTAAATATGGGCGAATGGACTTGTAGGCGAATTGACTTGTGGGCGAATTAACAGTAAACCTGATTTATTACCTAACTTTACTGTTGGGCAAACTGAAGATGGTAGAACACAGTGATGGCCACACTACCCATTAGTGTACCTAAAAGGGGTTAGTTTAAAATGTGTTGTATACCTACTGGCCGTAAGGGTTCTTTAGACCTACTGGATTAATTTTCATCGATGGCAAGTATGATGTGTGTCTGCTGAGTCATAGACACCGGGAGCCTGTGTGTGTTACGGGGTTGAGGAGGGTAAGGGTGTTCGGGGGTTACAGGGATGGGAGAGGGTTAAGAAGTTACTTGTGCAGTTACAGAGCAGAATTTGTTAAGTAAGGATATGAATATGTAAGATAAAACACACATTATCAAATTATCTATAGAATGTGTTGCCAACATTAGGGTGATATTCCCAGTTTGTGATAAAGGTCTGTGTGGTTATATGAATATTTTATTAGTTGTTTATTTATGTATTTATTTATTCACTTTTTGTAACACATAATTTAGGGGTGATAGGGGGACGGGCTGGAGTCTCAATATGGTGTCCTTTATAACGGGGTGACTTTCATGACCCAATGAATAATGAATAATGTTTGCATGAGAATCAAATTATTGATACACTGCAAATTGCAATGAAAACATACCCAGGAAATTGGCAAACTACGTTTATTATAAGTACTTTAATGTGTGAAAGGCAATGATAAGTCAACAGCGATATATATATATATATATATATATATATATATATATATATATATATATATATATATATATATATATATATATATATATATATATATATATATATATATATATATATATATATATATATATATATATATATATATATATATATATATATATATATATATATATATATATATATATATATGCGTGTGTGTGTGAACATGTGTATAAGTATAAGCCACTATACTGGTGAAAATTCTGAATTCGAGACAAACTGCCAATATTTCATTCACTCTAGCAATTGCAAATGGGTTCATCATTGCAAATAACAGAGGTACTGCCAGGGAAATAATATACTCGCACGAATATGTTATTGGTTCTGGGGTTGAAATACAGTACTCTAGTAGCATAAAGAGTGGCCTGGAAAATGGCATACAGCAGTGCTAGTATCCTGGAAAGTGGTATACATCAGTACGAGGGCCTGGAACATGCCATACAACAGTACTAGTGGCCTGGATCGTGATATACAACAGTACTAGTGGCCTGGATCGTGATATACAACAGTACTAGTGGCCTGGATCGTGATATACAACAGTGGTAGTGACACGGAACCTGCACAAAAAAATGCTAGGGGCTGGGAATTGCCACAAAGAGAGCTAGTGGCCTGAAAGTTAGTATCAAAACAGTGTTACTGGCTTTAGAGATGCTGCACATAAAGTCTACGTGACAGACAGTTATGGTGCTGACTGTGGGTGATGTTTTTCTCACAAACTCTCTTCTGCCTCCCCCATAACAGGTAAGCGAGAGAGTATACAAGAGCGCCGGTTTCTGTGCGTGGTTCAAACGGAAAACAGAGCTATTTCGACAGATAAAGATAGTGTACAGTACAAGGTAAAATATATTGAGTTGTAGATGAAAGTACCGAAGTGCCATAATGACCTGTGTTAATTAGACAACAGGTGTGAAGACAGTGTAGGTCACCAACTAATGATTAATGATGTAGGATTATGTTGGCTGTAGCTTATTCTCTCCTGCCATA